CTGCCACCGTGCCAGCTCCGCATCTTGGGTGGCGACTGTTCGGTGGGGGCGCGCAGGAGGCCGTAACCTTTGACACTTCGTGCCCGTAGGTTTGGGAGAGACGCGGCATGTAACACATGTTTCTGCGTCGTGTCAGGTGTTCTCTTCTCGTCTTCTTCGTATTCGTCCCTTTCTTCTGTTCGTTCTCGGGCTCTTGTGCGGCAGTTTGGGGGTTCCATTGAGCCGCTTTGGGTCGTCCTGGGTCACTCCGGAGGCCCTCTTGGGCCAAATTGGAGGTGAGGCCGTCATGGGCCGTCGGGCCGTATCGGGTCCACCTCGGGGGCCTCTAGGGCCGTCGGGACTTGAAGGAAGGTCGAAAAGGTGAGCACGCCCAAGACATGTCAAACACTTAGAGGAAATATGTGCTGTTGGCCTCTACGAGCCCCGACCCTCTGGGGCCGTCTTGAGGGCCTCTTGGGCCGTCTCGAGTCCCTCTTCGGCCACCTTGGGTGCCATGTTGGCCCTTCTTGGAGGCATCTTGGGCCATCTTGGCCCGCCGTGGAGGCATCCTGGGCCATCTTGGCTGCCTTGGTTGCCTGGCGGGAGCGCGGATCCCTCGTCTCTGAATGCAGTTTTCCATACCATCCTGTGGTGTTGGGTCCTTTTTTGAAGACACGGTCCCCGCGTTCCTCGTTTCGTGGCCCCATAGGGAGCCCCACCGAAGGTCCCAGTGCTACCGTCCGCATGCGTCCCGCACACCCAGTACAGCATTTCGTGGCATCATAGGGAGCTCCACCGAAGGTCCCAGTGCTACCGTCCGCATGCGTCCCGCACACCCAGTACAGCGTTTCGTGGCCCTCCTCCCCCTCCTCCCTGCGTTTCACCCACCCGGTACAGCGCTTCGTGGCCCCATAGGGAGCCCCACCGAAGGTCCCAGTGCTACTGTCCGCATGCGTCCCGCACACCTAGTACAGCGTTTCGTGGCCCCATAGGGAGCCCCACCGAAGGTCCCAGTGCTACCGTCCGCATGCGTCCCGCACACCCAGTACAGCGTTTCGTGGCACCACAGGGAGCCCCACCGAAGGTCCCCGTGCTGCCGTCCGCATGCGTCCCGCACACCCAGTACAGCGTTTCGTGGCCCGCCTCCCCCTCCTCCCTGCGTTTCACCCACCCGGTACAGCGCTTCGTGGCCCCATAGGGAGCCTCACCGAAGGTCCCAGTGCTACTGTCCGCATGCGTCCCGCACACCCAGTACAGCGTTTCGTGGCCCCATAGGGAGCCCCACCGAAGGTCCCAGTGCTACCGTCCGCATGCGTCCCGCACACCCAGTACAGCGTTTCGTGGCACCATAGGGAGCTCCACCGAAGGTCCCAGTGCTACCGTCCGCATGCGTCCCGCACACCCAGTACAGCGTTTCGTGGCCCTCCTCCCCCTCCTCCCTGCGTTTCACCCACCCGGTACAGCGCTTCGTGGCCCCATAGGGAGCCCCACCGAAGGTCCCAGTGCTACTGTCCGCATGCGTCCCGCCACCCAGTACAGCGCTTCGTGGCCCCATAGGGAGCCCCACCGAAGGTCCCAGTGCTACCGTCCGCATGCGTCCCGCACACCCAGTACAGCGTTTCGTGGCCCTCCTCCCCCTCCTCCCTGCGTTTCACCCACCCAGTACAGCGTTTCGTGGCCACATGGGGAGCTCCACCGAAGGCCCCAGTGCCCCCGTCCGCATGCGTCCCGGAAGCCCAATTTGGCATTTTCACCCACCCAGTGCAGCGCTTCGCGGCCCCATAAGGGGGCTCCACCCAAGGCCCCAGTGCCACCGTCCGTATGCGTCTGGGGAATGTAATTTGGCATTTTCACCCGCTCAGTGCAACATTTCGTGGCCCCATAGGGGGCTCCACCGAAGCCCCCAGTGGGACCGTCCGCATGCGTCCTGGCAACCCAATTTGGCATTTCACTCACTCAGTAGAGCGCTTCGTGGCCCCATAGGGAGCTCCACCGAAGCCCTCAGTGGGACCGTCCGCATGCGTCCGGGAAACCCAATTCGGCACACCACGCACACAGTACAGCGTCCCCGCCGCCCATAGGGAGGGACCTTCGCCAGGATAATTTTACTAGTCGACGGCGCGGGTGATCTTTCAGCGCGGGTGGGCCTAGGCCGGGCTGCGAGGCGGCAAGTCGACACCGAGGATCGGGCGGGCGGTAATGTTAAGTCGGGCCCGTCGCTCTGCAGGAGGAAAACGCCAAAAATATGACTATCTGCAAATTTTCACTCGAAATCCGCCTGTAGGAGGACATGTCCGATCTAATGGTAGTGGGGGGTGAAGAAGCAGGCCTTAAGGGGCCGTCGAGGGCCGCTGTTTGGGCACCAGCTGCTTCCAGAAGGGGCCCTCGAGGGCCCCTGCAGGGCCCCCTCTCTTCACCCCCCCCCTGGGCCACCCACCGCTGCCACCCGCCCGAGAGGCGAGGCGGCGGGGGAACGGCGCGGAGGAGGAGGACGGCAGCGGAAAGGGGCCTCTGCTGGCAGGCCAGGCGCTGCGGCCGTGCAGCCCGTCGCGCTGGTGCGGCGGCCCCAGGCTCCGGGGCCGGGCGCCAGGCGAAGCGGCGGCCCCGGGGCGGCCTGGTGCCAGGCTGCCAGAGCGCAGCCTGCGCTCTGGCAGGGGTGCAGCCAGCCGCCCCCCATTTCTTGCACCAGGGATCGTGGCCTCGGCAGCGCGGGTCGTGGCCCGGAGAGCGCGGGTCCTGCGTTCTGGCACCAGGCATCGTGGCTTCGGAAGGGGGTGCCCAGACCTCCTCGCGTTGTGAAAAAATCACGACGGGAGGCTTCTCAATTTTTTCGGCCTCCAGGGGCCCTTGCCGGGCCTCGGGACTGTCAAGAAACGACTCAGAACGAAAAATCGGTCCCTGGGAAGGGGTCCAGGCTGGGAGTCACGTCATGAACAAATCACGACGTCGGGGGCCTGGATACGGTGCACGAAGCAGTCTGCTGCGAGAGGGGGGGGCCCTAAGAAGATCACATAAACCGCACCGGGCAGCACTCGGCACTCTACCACGCCGCCACGTGCCAGGGGACACGGTGGGGGATCCAGGTGGTGCAAGCCGCGTGATGCATGCCAAGTGGTGTATCGGACGCACCCATATATATATATATATATATATATATATATATATATATATATATATATATATATATATATATATGCACATAATTTCGTTGAGCTCCGCCCTGGACCCCCCAGAACCCCCAGGACCCACCAGGACCCCCCAGAACCCCCCCCCCAGGACCCACCAAGACCCCCCAAGACACTCCAGGCTCCCCCAGGACACCCCAAGACCCTTCAGAACTCTCGAGGACACCCTCGGATTTTCCAGGATTTCCAAAGCACCTCAGGACTTCCCAAGACCCCGCAGGACCCCCGAACAATTTTCAAGACCGCCCGAGACCCCGCAGGACCTTCAAGAACCCGCAGGACCCCCCGAGAATTCCCTGGGAGCCCTGAGGACCCCCCAAGACCCTCCAGGACTCCCCAGGACCTCGCAAGACCCCTCAGGACCCCCCAGGGCCCCCAACAACCCCAACGACCCCCGAGGCCCCCCAGGACTTCCCAGGGCATCCAGGAATCCGGACCGCAGGACACCCCAGAACACCCCAGGACACCCCAGGACACCCCAGGACGTCGCAGGACTTCCCAGGACACCCCGCAGAACCCCCTTGGACCCTCCAGGACGCACCTGGACTCCGCAGCAGCAGAACCCCCCAGAACCCCCAGGGAGCCCGCAGGACCCCCCAGGACCCCCCAGGACCCGTCCTGCGGGGTCTTGGCGGGCCCTGCGGGGTGCTGGGAAGTCCTTGGGGGGTCCTGGTGGGCGTTGGGGGTCATGCGGGGTCGTGCGGGGCCCTGCGGGGGTCGGGGGAGGAGTTGCCTCGTTTTTTTTCCGCTTCAGCCAGTTCTGGTGTTTCCCGGCCCGGTTCGGATCGGCTGGTCCGCATCCCGTCTGTTCGGCGGGTTCGGTTCGGCGGGTTTGATTGGAGAAGCTGCCGTCTTAGGCTTGCAGGCTCAGTACAGAGCCACGCAGCAACAGACAGATAGGCATACGGAGGCATACGGTTCCAAGAGGAACGCGCGTGTCAGCCCGCATGCCGCTGACAAAGTCTCCCATCTTCAAGGAGGCGCACCCACATCAAACACAGCCGGAAAGGAGGCAGCTGTCGCCACTGGAAAGCAAAGTGTTGGCGAGTGTGCTGCTACATGCGTAGTAGGATCATCGCCGAGCGGGCAAGCGCACATTCAGCCATAATGTGCGACGCAAAAGAGGTGGCGAGTCCAGCGCGAACACAACATGTATGCGGCATGTGTAAGGCAAAGAGTGCGTGGCAACCAAATCTGCATTATTATCAACGCACGCCAAGTGTAGCAATGTGAACAACATATATAGAGACGGTGTTCCCTGTCTGGCATGCATGCCAGGTTGCGTCGCATGCCAACGCGCATCGAAGACCGCAGTCGGAGTTCTGTAATGGCACCATGTGAGGCGTATGAAGTTGTATTCTACCAAAGGTGATCACACTGATTCATAAGATAATACGGGTTGGCAACCCAGTGTTGTATGTCCGTCATCTTAACAGGAGTCTCAAATGGATATGCAAGGACAACGAGACACGAACATGGAGAGTATAGTACAGACACGGCGACATAGAGGGAGAGACAGGGAAAGAAAGAGGGGAATAGACAGAGACGCAAACACGGCACAAAGGGACATGGAGCCAATCAGAGGGAGGCACGGGATGGGAAGCAAAGTGATGAGGGGCGGGGGGGGGGGCAAAAACGGGCGGGCGCGAATCGAAGAAGAAACGTTTGCATAGACGTGAACTCTTGGAGTCACGCGCAGATTTCTTGGATCTGCCTTGGATCCCCCTCCGTGGCGCAGAGCGCGCCAGGGTCGACGACGGGGGCGCTGCCAGGGGGCACCATCGCAGTTCCAAGGAATCCGCGCGGAGTCAAAAGTTTCTGTGGCGGCCGCGCCAGGACCTCGGGAAGAAGTGGCAGACGAAGTACGCCAAGTGCCTCCAGTTCTCCGAGGACGCCCCGGCGCCGCCCGCGACGCTCCGAGAGCGGGGGGGGGGCGCAGGCGCGCAGGGGCCTCGGGAGGGCCCGAGCCCCCCCCCCCCTCCCAGCGCACCGCTTTTTTCTGGACTGCGCACACCGCGACGATGTGTATGAATACCATGATGTTGATGATGATGATGATGATGATGATGATGATGATGATGATGATGATGATGATGATGATGATGATGATGATGGTGACGATGATGATGATGATGGTGGTGGTGGTGGTGATGATGATGATGGTGGTGGTGGTGATGATGGTGGTGGTGGTGATGATGTTGATGATGTTGATGATGATGATGATGAGGTTGACTTTGAGGCTGTGGCTAATGCTGATGATGCTGATGGTGATGGTGGTGATGGTGGTGATGGTGATGATGATGATGATGATGATGATGATGATGATGCTGATGATGATGATGATGATGATGATGTTGGTGAGAGGTGTGATGGTGATTGTGATGATGATGATGATTGTGAGAATGGTGGAATTATAATTGTGATGGTGAGAATGATGGTGGTGATGATGATGGTGGTGATGATGATGATAGCGGTGGTGGTGATGGTAATGGTGATGGTAAGGTGTATGGTCCTGGTCATGGTGATTGCTGATGGGGATGGTGGTGATGGTGATGGTGATGATGATGATGGTGATGTTCATGGTGGTGATGGTGGTGATGGTGATGGTGGTGATGATGGTGGTGATGATGTTGATGCTAATGATGATGATGTTGATGGCTAGGAAGATGATAATGGTGATAATGGTTGTGATGGTTACGATGGTGGTTGTGATGGTGGTGAGGGTGAGGGTGAGGGTGTGGGTGTCATGGTGATGGTAATGCTGATGCTGATGATGATGGTGGTGGTGGTGATGGTGATAGTGATGATGATGGTGATGGTGATGGTCATGGTGCTGGTCATGGTCATGGTCATGGTCACGGTGGTGGTGATGATGATGGTGATAGTGATTGTGGTGATAGTGGTGCTGATCTGATGATGATGATGATGATGATGATGATGGTGATGATGATCATCACGTCGACATGAGCATCATCATCACCACCACCATCACCATCATCACCATCAACCGCCATCGTTATTAAGAGGGCTCCAGGCTCGGCGGACAGGGACGAAGCAGCGGCATGGGAAGGGCTGGGCGGGAGGGATCGGTTGTCAGATGTGCCGCGAGCGCACCCAGCTTGGCACTGGCCCCTCTCTGCCTCACCCTCGGAGGGGGGGCGGCAGCGTCGGCGACCCAAGGAGGCCAGAGGCCCCGAGGCACCCGTGGTGGTGAGGGGGGTTGGGGGGGTGTGGACGGGCGGCGGGGAGCTTCCCATTGAAGCACAGACGTTGCACAAAAATAAGTCTTTCGGGGTTCCACGCGGATGTTTTGGGATCGGTGCTGGGCCCCCCCGGGCGGCGCCTCCAGCGCAGCCGCTGTCGCGCCCAGCGCGCCAGGGAGGGGGGGGGGTCCAGCGCCAATCCAAGATGTGCGCGCGGAGCTCCGCCGAAAGATGTATGTTTACGCTGCCTTGGGGTGCCCGTGGGTGCCCCGGCGCCGCGGCCCGGCAGCTGCCACGGTCCCCGCCGGCGGGACTGGCCGCGCCAGCTCACATTGGAGTGGGACTCGTCCGCTCCTGTGTGGCCCCTCGCCCCTCCCCTCCCCTCTGTGGCCGCCCGCTCTGTCCTGTTTTCCCGCTCTTGCACGCTGGCCAATTCGCTTTACGGCCTCCCCGTTTGGCTCTAGCGCTGGTGCAGCCAACGCTGCCTCGCCGCCGACGGCAAAAGTTGATGCTGCATTCTGTTCCTCTCTATACCCGCTTCCGGGCCGCGCAGTCCTGGCCCCGGCGGCTCACGGCGGCCCGGGGGCGATGCGGACCGCCAGGGACCAGGCGGGTCCCGAGGGCAAAAGAGTGTCCCCCGAGGCTCTTCGCCGAGCCTTCGGCCTCCGTACCCCCCCCCCCCCCTCTGGCCCTGGGACTGCCGAAAAACGGCTCAGGATTGCGGCCAATCCCGCACAGTAAGGATGAGCAACCCCGCACAGTAAGGATTGCGGCCAACCCCGCACAGTAAGAAGGAACATCGCCGAAAGTGTACATGTATGCCGTTACAGTAAGGATGAGCAAGTTTCCAAAGTTACCCTTGCATCCTTCCCCCTTCGGCCCATCCTTCTCGCCTGTCGTTCCCTTTCGTTCCCTTGTCGTGTCGTTGCTGGGCCGTGGCCTGGGATTGAGTTGGGGGAGACTTCCGACTCTCTTCCATTGCGAGCCTGCCACTGGGAGGATGGTGCCCGCGTAGGCCGTCACGGGTTTGTTTCCCTCAGGGCGGCCCTGCTTTGGGCCAGTGGTTCCCCCCAGCGAGGCTGCAGGCTATAGCCCCGTGCTCTTCGCAGATCCTCTTACATATATATGATCCTCGCCTCGCAACGTTGCGTTCCAGGCGTCATTCACCAGGGAGTCCCTCTCCCCCTCCCCCCCCTCCTCCTTCTCCTCCTCCTCTTCCTCCAACTCCTCCTCCTCCTCCTCCTCCTCCTCCTCCTCCTCCTCCTCCTCCTCCTCCTCCTCCTCCTCCTCCTCCTCCTCCTCCTCCTTCCTCCTCCTTCCTTGCCTCCTCCTCCTCCTCCTCCTCCTCTTCCTCCTCCTCCTCCTCCTCCTCCCCCTCATCATCATATAATTGCTTGCTGACTGCTTTGATCGTTGCAATGGTGTGGGCCGCAACCACGGCGGCTCAAGTCTTTAATTTGTGCAGCTCCCATATGCAGGACCTCGCCCAGTCCTTCACAGACATCCTGCGATACGGGGCTCAGGCGGCGGGAGCTTCCCTGGTGCGGCCGCGCCGAGCTGCGGGGCCTGTGCGCCGCAGCTGGCTTGTCCCGCCATCCCCGCCTGCGTCTGCGCGGGTGCTGGCGGCCAGGTGCCCGAGCCCGCCTGCGGTGGGCTCATCGCGGCCTACGCGGCGGCCGCATTGGCTGTTGGCCTCGCCGTCGGAGCTGTCGGAGGTGCGCTGGTCGTCAGTCGCCTTTCGTGCCCGTGGACCGCCGAGGCGCCTGCGGCGGACTTTGACGAAGAGGCGCGGGCCCAGGCAAGGGCCGTCAGGGCCAGGAAGGCCATCAGTGCTTGATCATGGCGCACCAGCTCTACTGGGCGTTGGTGAAATATCGCATCGGGGGCGCGCACGTATGGCATGAGAGGCTCATCGTGATGCGCGGCCCTGGGACGACCGTGTACATCATCACTCCCGACGGGGATCGTTACGAGGAGAGCGGGATCCCAGACGCAGACATCGAGGGTATCATCACGATTGCTGGTCAAGGAGAGCGGCCTGCGGGCTTGCGCGTGTACGGGTTCAGGGCCTTGCCGTCGGCCGCCGACGTGTAGGCAGGCATCCAGGAGGCGGCGGCGCTGTACGGCACGCCCCGCCCCGCTTCGCCTGCTAGCATGTCGCTGGCGGCTGGCAACGCGGGCGGCCTACCAGCTGGCAGTCTCGCGCTGGCTGACCCTGCGGCCCCGCCCGTCGCGGGCCCCCCCGCCCCTGGCGCACCCGCCGCGGGTGCCGCCGCTGGCGCGATGGCCCCTGCGGGGGGTGCGGGAGCGGCCCCCGCGGCGCCCGCTGGCGCCGTCGCGATGCCTGGCCTGGTCGCTGCCTTGGCCGGGGCAGGCGCACCGCCCGCCGCTGCTGCCGCTGGCCCCGCGTTGGTGGCCCCAGCCGCGGCGGCTCCCGCTGAAGCCGCCCCCGCGGCTCCGCCCGCCGCGCCACCGGCCGCCCCCGCCGTCGCCGCGGCTGTTGGGGGGGGCGCTCGTGGTGCCCGCGGCGGCCGCGCCCGCCACTGGAGGCACTCCCGCCGACCTGCGCGTCAACGCCGTGTGCTTGGACGCACGGGGCGACCGCTGGAGGGAGTTCCGCGACGGGACGTTGCTCCAGAGCACGACCAACTGGGGCGACTGGCCCGTCCGCGGGCCCAGGACGGCTGCATGGGTGTGTGCCCACATCCAGCGCCACGCGGCGTCGCCGTCCGCGTGGCACCAAGTGGATGACGGAGTGGAAGATGTCGGAGGACGACCCCATCACGCGGGAGCATGCGCTCCTCTGTCGCATCCTGGAGCTGGCTGTGTGCTACAGGCGAATGTCGGCGAGCTGGCCCATCTGGAGATGACGGCTCGCCGACTTCAGCTTCTGGAGGAAAAGGTTGTGGAGCAGTCCTTCAAGCCGAAGGGCAACGACAAGAAGGACAAGGACAAGGGCCACGTGCTGGACGATTGGGTTGAGAACAACCTGTTCTTGGGCGCGCAGGAGAGCCGCGGCAACGCTTTCGCGTGCCCTCTCCTCAGCACGTGGATCGCGGGCGAGTTGAGAGCCGAGGCTGCGGTGGCTACAGAGCGCAGGAAGGCCCGCGAGGAGCGGGCGTTGCGCCAATAGCCACAGGAGCCCCGCATCCCAGCGGTGGGCCCCTCGCGAGAGGCCGCTGGGACTTGTTGGGCCAGGAGCTGCACAGCTTCCCCATGGCGGTCGACAACGACGATCGCCAGCGCGGTATCGTTCCTCTACCTCGGCTTGCTGCCGGCGGTCGTCGGGAATTTTGTGTGTCTCGTCGTTCTCGTCAGAGGTGTGATCGAGGCGCAGCCTGGAGGACCTGGGCCAACGAGTGCACAGACAGCCTGAATGCCCTCAACGGCCAGTGCAGTGGTGGGCATGAGTTTGCGTGTCCCGACGGTGCAGCTAACTTCCCAGAGAGGCTCGCCCTTGAGCACATCGCCGACTCATTTCAATCTTTTTCGTGGCCGTCTGACATGCCTGTCAACAACGCCACCGCGGATGCTGCCCTTGAAGAGCTGCTCCGACACACACACACACACACACACACACACACACACACACACACACACACACACACACACACACACACACACACACACACACACACTTGGTTTTCGTGAAGACGATACTACGGTGAGGCCCCCCGCCAAGGACTCTGTGTCCTGGCCCGCTGTTGGGGCGACCCCTACTCCTTCGGTCAATTTCTGCAGCGCGGCCTCTCTTCCTCGGCTAGGGTCATGGAGGACGAGCGCGCGGGTCTCCGAGTCCGTGGCAGAGGCCAGGCGCAGGGAGGCTGGACTGGTTAAGCCTTGCGTCGGCCCTCTTCTCTTGAGCTGCCCCGACCGCTACGCTGACTTCCTTCGTCGACTGGATGCAGCTGGAATGCTCAGGTTTCATCCTCGTCAGCATCGAGAGCAGCCCTCCGTGGGGGTGTTCTTTGTGACCAAGAAGGACGGCTGTTTGCGGATGGTTTTTGATACGCGCACTGCAAATCGTTCTTTTGTGGAGCCAGCGGGGACCAAGCTGCCGACGAGCTCTTCGTGGGCAGGTGTGGAGATCAGCCCTGAGATCAACGGCTACATGGCGTCGGCGGACATCCAGTACGCCTTCCACCACATGCAGCTACCCTCGGACCTTTCCCACGCCTTCACTCTACCGTGCGTCGCGAACCGGGTGCTTCGATTGGAAGGCATGGGGCTTGACATCGACGTGGTGCCTGAGATTTTGGTTATGCCGCTGGGGTGGAACTGGGCGCTGCACTTCTGCCAGGACGCGTGATGCAACATCATCGCGCGGGACGCGTCGGTGGACGAGAGCCGCTTCATCGTCGATGGGGCGGCTCCCACGGTGCTGCAGCACCCCGACGACTGGGCCGTCGCTGCCTATGTCGACAACTTCTGTGTAGTCGCGGGCCCCCAGGACCTCGCCGACCGCAAGCTGCAGCTCATCGCGGAGGCCGTCTCTCGTCACCGGCTTCCCGTACATGAGGTCCAGGAGGCGCGGATTTCCATTATCTTCACGGGTTTCGAGTTCGACGGGGCGAAGGGGGCCATGAGGGTGCTCTGCTCTCGCCTCGCTCGTTTGCGCCTGGGCATTCGATCAGCGCGGCGTCACGGAAAGATCTCGCCGCGTGCTCTATCCACGCTGGTAGGGCATATCACTTGGGCTATGTTGGGCAGGCGTGAAACGTCGTCTAGGATGTCCGCCACGTTTGCATGTGCCAGGAGTCGGTCCACTGAGCCGATCAAGCTTTGGGACGGGGTCCTCAGAGAGCTCCAGTGGGTTCAAGCTACGCTGCCATTGTGGGCTACGTCTTGGCGCCTTCCCTGGGCCCCCGACGTCGCGGCGCCCGACTCGTCGGGGCATGGGATTGGGGTCTGCCGTCGCAAGCCCCCCGTCCCCGTCGTCGCCGAGATTGGTCGTCTCGCCGAGAAGGTCAGGTACAGGCTCACTGACGCTATCGTCGCCCGTCGCCATGCCCTTGCTGGAGCCCCAGAGGATCCTGAAGGTGCTGCGCCTCACCCTCATGACGAAGGTATTGGTCGCTGCGTGAGCCCGAAGGAGTGCCCCCTCAAAACACATCCCGAGGGTCCTGGGGGCCTCGGCGGGTCTCGGGGCTTGGACGACGTCGCCATCTTTGAGAACTCCCTGGCGGCAGGTGCGGGGCCCCCTGGCTTCGCTGAAGTTCCCAGAGTAATCCAGAAGGAGCCCGACTGGAAGGTGGTCCACTCTAGCAGGGCCCATGTGCAGGGGAAGAACATCTTAGAGTCTAAGGGAGACGCTCTTCGGCACCTCCTGCGCTCGGGGTCCTTGCAGGGGCACCGCCCCCCCCTCCTCGTGGACAAGTTGGCTCTGGCTCTCAGCGCAGGCAAGGGCCGAGGTCGCACGGCCAACCTGACCCGACCTTTGCGCCGAATATGTCATTGTTGTTGGCCTCGGGCTGCAGGGCATACGTGCGCTGGGCCCCGTCCGAGCCCAACCCGTCGGATGCCCAGTCGAGGTCGGGCTTTTTTTCACAGGGCCGCCGTGGCCTGGCGGTCGTGCCAGTGGAGGCGGGCTGTCGACGGCGTGCTCGCGCGAGCCGCCCACCCCGCGCCATGGCGCTGGCGCGCCAGAGGCTGGCCCCCCCAGGCCTCGGTCTCGGAGCTGGGCTGCGGGTGCCTGAGCTTTCTGGAGGCGGCGGCCCTTGCCGACCACACCGCCAAGAGCTACATGATGCACGCCCAGAGACTGGCCTCCTGGTGCCAAATGGATGGGCCTGGCCTGGTCGACGGCTCAGGAGCTCGACGTGACATTGGCGGCCCCCCTGGCGCACCTGGCCTGAGACGGCTTCGGCACGGCGACGGGGCGGCTACCTGCGCCGGGGCCGCCTCGCGCTTCACTCCCGAGGGCCCGCGAGGCGCTGGAGGGTTGGAAGAAGCTGAAGCCGCCGTGCATGCGGCTGCCGATCCCGCGCCCCGCAGCGATGGCGATCGTGGGCGTGATGGTCTCGCTCGGCCAGCTGCCGTTCGCGATGTTTGTGCCCCTCGCCTTCGCGGCGTACCTGCGGCCATCGGAGGCGCGGCGGCTTCGCGGCGACCCGCTCGTGGCGCCCAACCCGCGGGCTGGCAGGGGCTACGGCGAGCGGGGTCTGGCCCTCAACCCCAGCGAGGGCGGGCGCCCTGGCAAGACGGGGATCACCGACGAGAGCGCCGCCCTGGACCAGGTCGAGTGGTGGCCGCTCTGGGAGGCGCTGAAGACCGCCCGTCCTGGCGGCTCGGCCCTCTGGGACTTCGACGCGGCGGGGGCCAGCGACGCCTTCAACCAGGCGGCCGAGCGCTTGGGGCTAGAGGCGCAGCCGTCGCTGTACGCGCTGCGCCACAGCGCCGCCAGCGACGACCTACTCGCGCCGAGGCGGTCCCTCCCCGAGGTGAAGGATCGGGGCAGATGGATCTCCGACGCCTCCCCCCGAAGGTACGCGAAGAGGACGAAGCTACAGCAGCAGGTCAACCGCCTTTCGGACGTGGTGAGGGAGTTCGGCCAGCGGGTGGACTCGTACCTCGGGGCTGATCGAGACGGCCGCGCTGGGCAAGCAGTTCCCGCGGCCCGCTCCCGCGCAGAAGGCCCGCCCGCCACGTGGCCAAGCGAAGCCATCTCTGACGACCAGGTGGACGGCTATCTGGCCCGCCAGCGGATTGCCGCGTTCGCCGCCGCTCAGGTGCGGCCCCGCTCAATGTGTCTTGGTCTTGGTGCCGCCTCGTGGCCGATTGTTCGGCGCTGGCGGGCGCTGGGCCATGCAGGAGTTTGTTTCGTCCCGAACAGGCACCGCGCCTTTGACTGGACCCGACCCGCGGTGCGCCAGAGGATCATTGGGTGGCTTCGGGGGTCCGTGGTTTTGGGTGTCTGGGCCCCTCCTCCCTTGGGTCCTGGGCCCCCCTCTTCTCGCTCTCGGGCCGTCTGGGGCCCGCTCGCCATCTTGATCCTCGAGTGCCATCGTCAAAGGGTCCCTTTAGTTGTTGAGTGCTGCCGCAGTTATGCGCCCCCGTGCTTGGTTTCTTTCAGACACGCGTGCTCCCTGGCCTCTCAGACGGCTAAGCTGGATCTCTGTCAGTACGGGGGTGCTTGCATCCGTCATACGAAGCTCTGGGTGTGGGCTGTGCAGTCTTCCGCACTCGACGTGCGGCCCCTGTGTAAAGCTCGCGGCGATAGATGCTCTGGTGGCCGCCGATGTCATGCCAAACCTGCTGCTAGCTTGATCCGATACCCACGTCAATTCAGCCAGTGGGGTGCCAGTTGGCTCGTGTCTTGTGCAAAGAATCTCCGAGATGCAAAACTCAGTAGGCGTGCTCTCGAATGCTGGTGAATGCTGGCGGTCTTCGGCCAGGGGTTGCAAGTATGCCAAGTGCTAATATCATATGATGTTGGCTGCTGCTCTGTCTGTCTCGAGGCTCCTGCTCTGTCGGCGAGACAGTCGCCCTCGCCCCCCAGGCAGCAAAGATGGTCTCTGGCGCACAGAGAGTAAGAAGATCATATAACAGTTTGCTGAGTGCTCTGATCGTTGCAATGGTGTGGGCCGCAACCACGGCGGCTCACGTCTCCCTCCCTCCCCCCTCTTTCGCCTACTAATATCATCTGATGTTGGCTGCTGCTCTGTCTGTCTCGAGGCTCCTGCTCTGTCGGCGAGACAGTCGCCCTCGCCCCCAGGCAGCAAAGATGGTCTCTGGCGCACAGAGAGTAATAAGATCATCATCATCATCATCATCACCCGTCGGCCTCCTCCTTCGCCTCCTGATCATTTCCTCCTCCTCCTCCTGATGTTTTTCCTCCTCCTCCTTCTCCGCCTCCCCCTTGTCCTCCTCCTATTACTCGTCCTGCTACCCCTTCCCCTCCCCCCCTCTTCCTCGACTTCATTATCATCCGCATCCTTGTCCTCCTGCCTCCTCCCCTCCCACGGCGTTTCAGAGGCCATCTTGCGCAGGCCTGCCTGGCAGCCGCCGTCAGCCCGCCCAGGCGCTGCGGGCAATGCCACACCCCGCTCGCGCGCGCAGCAGGAGCTGAAGAAGATGATTTCCGACCTCCGCTTCACGTCGGGGCGGTGCTTCCCGGCATTCAACGGCGTCGTGCAGAAGTACTTGGACCCGTCCATGGCCTTGGAACGGACCGAGGAACGGAGGGCAGGCGGCAGGATGGGATCTTCGTGTTGGAGCTCGCGCTCTTGTCGTGATCTTGTTTCTTGGGTGGCTCGAGGGAGAGTGCGAGTGAGGACGCGGGTTGCATCCTCTTCACGGCAAGCACACGTAGAACACAATGTGGGAAGGTTGTCAGGTCTCAGGCAGGGGAGTTTGGGAGTCCGACCGATTTCTAGCATGTCGCAAAAGGGTTCATATAGTGGGGGGTACGGCTGGGCCGCTGGATCAGGCAGGTCGCTTAAAGTGCGAGTGTGTCGGGCACATCTCGAAGGCAGCGTCTGGCGGCGCTAGTCCCTGGCTGCCGCGATAGCATGCGCAAAGTGGCGATGGAACTCTTGACGTTTTGCGTATCCCCACCAGACCATCCAGAAACAATGCCCATGATAGTTACCGGGGGAAGAGAGGAAGACATACATCTAATCTAACAGCGCACCTGTGGGTTCATGAGGAAGTGCAGGAGGAGGACACGAAAAGGGAAGGAGGGAGGAGAGGAGGAGGCGAACCAGAAGGCTAGAGGTTTCTTTGATGTATGCCAGAATATCTTGGGATGATTATGTTGAACCACTTACGCCCAGAAAGGCTGGTGGGAGTTAGGCCCGCGCCATGCTCTTGGCTACTTAACCAATGCATGCAAATATAGACGCTTCACGTGGCCGATGGTATTATATCACATTGAGTTGTGGTCGATGTAGAACGGACCCAGTTGGAGACACCCTATGCCAAGTGACGTCGACATGCAAAGCAATGTCAAACTCAGCCATTCGTCGTATCCTGCTCAGCCTCCCACGTTATGGACTCCGTGCGTGTTTGGGATCCCAACGCAAGTTCGCGTCACTGACCGCATCTCCCACGTTATCTTCGGACTCGGTATTCGGATTCGGATTCGTTGGTTCATTGAGTAACCGAATGGCCTTCGGCCCATCCCGTCACCGTGCCTGGGCTGTGCGTATGGAGCCGATTGGAGGCAGTTATGATGCCTCTCGGAACCCGTTTGGGGGCCTCTTTGGGACTTCTTGGAGGATCTTGAGGGCTTCTTGGTGGCCTCTTGGGCGCCTGAAGGGGCCTCGTAAGGGGCTCTTGGGGCGGAAGCCTCGGATATTCGGTCCGTGGTCCTTCTCTTGGGCCTCTCTTGGGGCCGTCTTGTGGCCATCTTAGACCGTCTTGGGATCCTCTTGGATGCCTCTTGGGCCGCTTTGGGGTGGTCTTGGGGGACTCTTGGGCCGCCTTGGAGAGTCGTAAAGCCGAAAGGCGAAAACGCCAAAATCCTGTTTGCCTCTTGGGTCCCTCCTGGAAGGCCTCTTGGGTGCGGCTTGGCGGCCTGTTGAGCTCCTTTGGACCGTCTTGCGGTCGTCGTGGGGACCTCTTGGCCGGTCCTGCAGCTTGCCTGGGCCCCGAAGAGGTCACGCGAGGAGACGCGACGAGCCCCCGACCAGACGCGAGAAGCCAGAGAAGGTCTCGCCAGTTTGGGCTCTGGACCCGTAGAAAGACCCCTCGGGAGGTGGGGACTGGGGCGCACGGGATCAGGCAAAGGGCCCGAGGGCACGCCCACTCCGTGCCCCGCGGCGGGCTTTTCCATCAGTTCCACGAGAGTTCAAAGGCCTGTCCATTGCACCGGCAGCCTGCTCGACCGCACGTGCGCCACTGCGGGCACGTCGGCCGATGACCTGCACGCGCGGCCGCGTTCAACGACCAGCGCGCGCGGCCGCGCGGCCGCGTTCAAGTAGTCCTACTTCCAACGGCCAGCGTGTTAGAATGCAACGGCCTTGGAAGGCCATGTCGACACACTGCGAGCGGGGCGCAGCCAGCGCCAGCGGCCACGGATGGGCCTACGGTTAAGTCGGGCGTGTCCTTGAATATACAGGAGTCGTCAAAACATAGTCTGGATTGTGTTTGACTATATGTTTGATTTTTTGGTGTATTGATTTTCACTTTTGTCCCAAATCCGCCAATGGGCGTGGCAGGGCGTCGACGTCGTGGACTACGACGGCAACAAGTCCATGGACATCAGCGGGTCCTACGGCGTCAACGTGTGCGGCCTAGCCGCGCGATAGCTCCGCCTCGTCGCGCTGTGACAAAAATACGACGGGAGGAATGTGGCTGGTTTCGGCCCCCAGGGGCCCTCACTGGGCCTCTGGACCATCAAAGAACGACTCGCGATGAAGAGCCGGTCCTGGGGAAGAGGCCCAGGCGGCGTCCCACGGCGTCCACGTGTGCGGCCCAGCCTCGCGACAGATCCGCCTCGCAGCCCTCGGCCGTCCCCGCGCGGCCGCTCCGCGGCCGCTCCGCGGCGCCCGTTCCGCGGCGCAGCGCGGCGCAGCGCGGGGCGTCGCGGTGGAGGCGCCGCGCGGTCGGGAGGCCCACCGCACGGGCTGAAGAGCCGGTCCGAGTGAAGGGGTCGAAAATCACGACGCCGGGGGTCTGGGCAGGACGAGGACGAATCCGTTCCAGAGCGTTTCGGAACGCTCTCAGAGCGTCCCGTGACGCTCTGAGGAGGCCGCGGCGCCCCAGACATCCTCCTGAGCCGCCAGACCTCAGAACTTCTCGCTGTCTGGTCATCCCCCGAACTGATCCTCGTCCTGGCCTCGTCTCGCGTCGCGGCGGAGGCGCCGCGCAAGTTGAATGCCCACTGCACCGCGGCGGCAGAGGCTCCCGGGCTTGAGGAGGGAAGTGCCGCCGCGCTGCGTGCCGCGGGGCGCGTTTGGCCGGGCGGCCCCCCGCCGCGAGGCGTGCCGTCCCCGGGCCGAAGGGTTCCATTCCGGGCAGGAGGGTTTGCATCCCAAGAAGCAGGCTCCATCCCCAGATCCCGACGTCGTGATTTCTTCATGTCTAGGCCTTCTCGATGGGGTCGGAGTGGATGGGGTCGGAGGATCGCGCAGCATCTCCGATGCACCGGCGATGCCGCTCGATGTGGAGCCTGATTTTCCTCACGCGCCGACGTCGCCAGTGCATGGCCGACGTCGCCAGTGCATGGCCGATGTATCGGCGATGCATGGCCGATGTATCGGCGATGCGATAAGATCCTCCGACCCCATCTACTCGGACCCCATCTGGGAGGCCTCTATCATGCCGTGGCCCCCAGGAGCCTGGACCCCTTCCCCGGGACCTATTTTTCATCCCGAATCGCTTTTTGACAGGCCCGAGGCCGGGCGAGGGCCCCTGGAGGCCGAACATACCGAGGATGTCTGGGTCCCCTGCAGGCCGGGCGGATGGTAATGGGGGGTGACGCAAATGAGAGGTGCCGAAACGGGTCCCAGAGGGGCCCTTTCGGACCCCTTTTGGAGCTAGCAGGTGCCCAAAAGGGGCCTTTTCTTCACTCCCCCACTACCATCCGCCCGAGCAGAAAGGTTCAATCCCCTGCATCCACCCGACTTGTCTCGGAGAACAGCAAGAGGCATAAACGAGAATTGTTGGCGGTCCGCGCGAATTCCTTGGATCTGCGTTGGGACTCCCCTGGCGGCGCCTCCGACGCCGCCCCCGGCGCGCTCCGGGGGTTGGACCCCTATTCTGGGGTTCTATACGATCCTTATACTAGTGGCCACGTCGGAATGTATTGCGTTTCCTTCCAAGTGGAATTACATTGGTTTCTTAATCGGATCATAGGCAATCCTCTTGAAATGCCATAGCATTCCCCTTCGCTGGAATATTGATTCATCTCTATCGGGTTCCGATTGGGATCTTACTAGCACCTAATCGGTCCCTTCCTATTGGATACCGATTCGCATCTCACTGTAAGCCAGTCAGAATCCAAAGCTTCCTTGTCATGGGAGTATTAACCTAGGCCGGCAATTAAGGACCCCCTTCCGGTGAAACGAAAACGCATCCAGCACCCGGAAGCGTTGTCCCGGCACTTTGACGAGGAGGAGGAGGAGGAGGCCAGTTCCTTGTGAGTTCAGATCAGCTCATTATGTTGCCTCTCCGTGGGTGACCCATTAAGTTCAGTTCTGTTTGTCCAAAGCGCTCTCACGCTGTTTCCAGTACGCTTCCAACAAGTTCAGCGCTAATAGACCTGTTTCGAGCACGCCACAGGAGTAGTGAAGAATCATTGTGATCATCTCGGCCGCGGGGTGCGGGGAATCATTATTTATTTTTGCGGCTTGGTGCGGTGCTAAAGATATCGTTCTGCTAAGTCCGACCCCGCGAATAATTTATGTTCGTTTCAGTGCTAACGAGAACGCAGGGGGGTCGTGAATTGCTGACCTAGGTTTCTTGGCTATGTTGTTGGTCCCTCTTGGAGTCCAATCATATGAATTCCCCTTGGGGTCTTATTGCGTGGGCTCCTAACGGGGTCCTACGGGGCACACGAGGATTACAAGCGTGTGCTTTCGTATTAGGGCCCAAATGGTTTTTCATTTGGGCCCGCGTAGAACAATAAGATGTGCGACCATTGGCAGCCGCGCAGTTGTTGTCAGCTGTGCCGATGCCGCATGCCACAAGTACTGCTGATAGAGTTCTAAGAGGCCCTTCTGGTAGTGTTTACCATTGTTTAGCTGAATTCTTGGAGCTGCTGCATCTGAGAGTAATATCGAACGACGCGTCTTCGCCACGCCTGATGGATTCTCGTAGATCATCGTTCGTCACACTGTCTCTCAAACCAGCTCTGCTGTTCCAGTTCAAGCTTATGCATTTGGCGTGTGATTGAAGTAGTGTGGCCCCGTGCCAGGTTTTCAACACTGAGGACAAAGCTTCAGGCACAGCACATTGGAAGCGACTGCTGGGAAGCTGCTTCGCCCACCTACTAGACGAAGGCATCTTGATTTATTTGACGCACAGGATGTTGGCGTAGATGGTGTGTACATGCATATGCATACGTACATATATATATATATATATATACACACTCATATGCACTCCATCCGTCGACGGGCGTTTGCCCACTGAAGGAGCGCGATCATGGCGGTGGACGCTTACAATGCTGCAGGATTCATACATCGTCCTGGTCCCGTTGATATGCGCACATGTATGGCATGCCCGCGAGGCCCAAGAGGCTGGTCGAAAGGCCCAAGAGGCCTGTCGGGAGGGCCAAAGGCTCGTCGGAAGGCCCAAGAAGCTTTCCGGAAGGCCCACGAGGCCTGTCGGGAGGGCCCAGGAGGCAAGTAAAAAGCCAGTCGGGAGGCCCAAGAGGCCTGTCGGGAGGGCCCAAGAGGCCAGCTGGGAGGCCAAAAAAGGCTTGTCGGGAGGCCCAAGAGGCTTGCCGGGAGGCCCACGAGGCCCGTCGGGATGCCCAAGTTGTTTTTCGGAAAGAGCCAGGAGGCCTGTTGGGAGGTCACCAGAAGCTTGTCTGAAAAGGCCCACGAGGCCTGTCGGGAGGCCCAAGAGGCATTTCGGACAGGACCACGAAGCACGTCGGGAAGCCCAAGAAGGTTTGTCGGGATTCCCAAGTGGCTAGTCGGGACGCCCAAAAGGATCGTCGGGAGGCCCAAGTGGCTTGTCGCGAGGCCCAAAAAACAAGCTCGCCTGGAGGCCCAAGAGGCATGTTGGGACGCCCAAGAGGCGTGTCGGGAGGTCCGAGCGGCAGCTCGGAAGGCCAAGGAGTTTGTGTTTTCCTCGGGAGGCCCGGGGGGAGGTCCGGGAGGCCCAAGAGGCCAGTCGGGACGCCCAAGAAGCATGACGCCAGTCGGGAGGCCCAGGGGGCTCGCCGAAACGCCGAAGAAGTCTCTCGGCATGCCCAGGAAGCGCACCACAACAATCTTTTAGCTTCAAAGCTGAGAAGCACTATTGAAATTGGTTTCCGAGGACTGAACCCCTCTGCCGAGGATTGAACCATTTTGCCGGGGATTACCTTATCCTCGCCCCCCGCCCAACACCGACCCCCCGAAGCCGTTGAGGCGAGCGCTCGGGCCAGAGTGCCGGACGGGGCCTGGCCGCACCAGGACTCCGTGGAGGCCCAGGGCCGCCAGCCCGGCCCTGGCGCCGCGTGCCGCGTTCGCGCTCGGGCGTTGCGCAATGGGGGGCGATTCTGCCCCCCAATTACTCGCGCTCGGGGAGTGCGCCGACCGCGTTCGCGTGATGGGCGTAATGGGCGATGGGCGTTACGCGCCGACCGCGTTCGCGTGATGGGCGTAATGGGCGCCGCGTGCCCCGACCGCGTTCGCGCTCAGGGCGTTCGCGCTCGGGCGTTCGCGCGCGGGCGTTGCGTAATGCCGCGTCGCGCTCGGGCGACGAATGGGATAATGGGAGGGTGAAGAAAGCACACCTCACGTACCTTAAAGGGGACCCTAAAAGGGCCCCCTGTGGATCCAAAGAGAAAACGACAGGTGCACACTTCTGCGTCCCCGTACTTATCCCCTCCCCATGACAGCAGCGCCCCACGCGCGCGGGGGCCCAGGTGTGCGGCTACGAGAAGTACAAGGACTTCATCGACGAGGGCTGGAGCAAGGCGTGGGCGGGCGGGCCCCTGCGCCGGCTGCGGTGCCGAGACTGCCGCACCCCAAGGGGTGCCCCGCTGCCGCCCTTTGCCAAGGGAAGGGCGGTCGCGAGGGCGGCAGCGAGCCGCGAGGGGCACCTTGCCAGGATTGCCTGGTCCGCTCCTGCTGCTCCCTCCCCGGGGGGGGTGGGAGGGAGGAAGCCAAGACTCATCAACGATGTTGCCATACACCCTCCCTGTTCCCTTTTCCACAAGCTCGTATGAGGTACATCTGCGCTGCTGGAAGAGCCCCGTTGGAAGACAACCGTCTGAAAGTCTTCAACCGCGTCAAAGCTCAATTCCTGGGACCTCGAGCTGCGAATGAACTTGTTGCGACCTGCGATCCACAGTCGTCCACGATTTCCTTTTGTTTCTAGGACGTCAATACCGCGATACAACGTGATTGTGGTGCCCTGACAATCGCAAATCGTGCCGAAGCACCGTTTCAGGGACGTCACCCATAAGAATATTTGGAAATGCTGTGAGCTGTCAAGACGAGCGTGCGCGGCGCTAAGGCGAGAGCCAAATGTTGAAAGGTAACCGCCCTCCATCCGTGAAGCTCTTGCAAACTTTAAGACGAACATGTTCGGCGATCAGGCGAGAGCCAACTTTTGAAAACGGCCCGCCCTCCATCCGTGAAGCCCTTGCAAAGTTTGAACAAGAATTGTGCGTGGCGCGAAGGGAAGAGCCACATTTTGAAAACCACCCTCCATCCGCGAAGCTCTTGTAAATTTGAAGCTTCAGGCTCGTAAGCGGTGAGGACGTCTCAGGCGAAACGCCCGGCCCGCCCTACCGACCCGTGTCGGGTGTCGGGTTGCGACAGGTGCGAATGAGTCAGAAGGATGAGAGATGGAGGAGGAGGAGGAGGAGGAGGACGAGGAGGACGAGGAGGAGGAGGATGAGGAGGAGGAGGATGAGGAGGACGAGGAGGACGAGGAGGAGGAGGAGGAGGGAGGAGGTCGCGGATCAAGGTGTCTTGATGCCCTCGGCTTTGGGGGGAGCGAGGCCTCCGCGAAGACCTCCAGAGGCCACGCATCTCAGAGCCCCCTCCACGGGGCTTGAAATTGCACAACAATCAAAACATTCGTCGCTTTTTGTTCGCAGCGAGAGGAGGTGGGGGATGGAATGCCTCCTCCTCCGCCTCCCCATCATCTTCACCATCATCAGCATCATCATCAGCAGCATCAGCATCAGCATCATCGTCATCATCAGCATCATCATCAGCAACAGCATCATCATCGTCATCCTCCCATTGCCCCTCTCCTCTACGTACCCCCGTCCTCGAGCGAGGATGGCAGGGGAGGGGGCGGGCAAGCCCGCCAGCTCTGGGGCCCCGTGGGACGAGGGACGGACGCAGGCCAAGAAGCAGGGCCTCTTCCTGGGGTCCCTGGACAACACGGTGCTCGACAACATCGCCAGGCTTAGCTCATCCTTCTCCTTCCCTTCCCTCCACCCCCCTCCCTCCACCCGTCCCTCCCTCCTGGATCGTCTCTTTGTTGCTCCTCCTCTTCCTCTTCCTCCGTCGCCTCCTCGTAACCATTTCGCTCAGGACCGATTGCGTTACTCATCACCTGGCTTCTCGCGCGTTCCTCGACGCCAGCTCTTGCACGTTCGGGTTGGGTTGCGAAGCAGATCACCGACTACGGGCGCGTCGTGTATGCGCTGGTTGGCCAAATTGCTAACCTTGGTACCCTGATCGTCCGCAACATTCTGCACGCGCCCGACGACAGCAGTATGCCACCTTCTGTATTTGAGGTCATGCTGTCGCAGCGGAAGTCGTTCAGCATACAAACGGAATCCTGGAAGTGGGCATTTGGATTCAATGCGTCCCATCATTCAGGATGATTCCATTCTGAGGAGGCACTAGTTGCAGCCATCCAGGTGGAGGTCAACCGCATCCGTGCAGCCAGGGGGGGCGCACTATGCGCGGTTGCCGCTGTTCGCGAGGGTGGCGATGCTTCTTCGGCCTCAGGCTCTGACGCTGGTGCCTTTGTATGTTCGACTTCAGGTTCTGGCGAGGGAGCTGGGCTCAGGGATGCCCGCTCTCTCCGAGAAAATGGTTTTGCTGGGCGAGCAGCTTCTGGCCCTGGCACAGATCACTGGGATCGTGGGGAAGACAGCGATGAAGGTGATGATGGCTATCCAATTGTCGTTTTTGGTAGGGGCGCTCGGAGTTCGGACGCCGTTCCCTGGCATCGCGCCGCCATACGACAAGCAAGCGCAGCGTAAGCAGCAATAGTCGCGGGCCTAGTTTGGGAGACCTCCCTCCCTGTCATCATCGGCACTCCGTCCCAGCTTGCTGGTGGCGCTTGAACGGGGGCCTTTGTGTCCATCTAAAGCCACTTCCCAACAGGTTGGGCGTACGTCAAAGCGTGATTGGTGGAAATGAGTTTGGGGGTCGTGTGCCTGTTCGTGGAGTGCCGCATCGTGCTGTTGGTCTCTCTGGCTCTCGGCGTTTTCCCTCGGGCATGTGGGAACGTATTCGGTGCTGGTGAGCTACGCTGTCGTCGCCGTGTGTTGCATCAGCTTGCCGCTTCCAGCTTCACTCGCTACGCGATGGCCAAATTCCTCGGATCCGCTTCCTCGACTCTTCCGAGCCCTCAGAGACGGAGGGGCGGGCGCCCTGCAATCCTGGGCCCGTGCGGGTGGTTCCCGACTGGCCGCCTGCGTTGGCACCCAGTTGTCCACTGTTCGAAGTTGATTCCTGGAGTTCCGAAGCGATTGTCTTGTCCTGCATCCTCCTCCTCTTCCTTCCATCGTCCCCCCGTTCCTGCCCCTCCCCCCCTGGATGACGCGAACAGCGCCTCGGAGGCGCCCGCGCCGGCCCGAGGGGGCGGTTTCGTTGCCTTTCGTTATGTGCTAGCCTCCGCCATGCATGCGGCGACGATGCCAGCTGGTCGGCCTCAGGCAGGAGGCCGTAGACCAGTCCTCGTCAACTGAGCAGTTCCTCACCATTCCCAGGAGCAGGTCGAGGTGATCGCAGTCGAAGTAGCCGAGCATACGTTTACGCGCAGACAGCGGATTCCGATTGGCACCAAGTCGCGCGGACACGTCTGGACGCGCTTGATCCCGAAGGTCAAATTACGACGTCTTCAGCGGAGCATTCGACCTTCTCGCCGCAAAACCCCCCGCAGAAACAGGCTTGCGAGAGGGCGCCTCACGCGAAGCCGCCGCGGCATGCCCCAAGCAGAGCAGTGTCCAGCTTCTCTGCTTCGGGCTTGTGCGGGTTCCGTTTTCCTTGTCTTCCTTTGTTATTTCTCCGACAACAAAAGCTTACGTAATGAGTGGAACCAGGCTTCTCACTGGTCCCAAGACCTCCCTCAGCATGCGGATTGAGTGGCGTCGAAAGTTCCAGCACCACGGAAGATCATCCACGTGCCATGATCCAACCATATTACCCCTTTGTTCACGGCAGAACTCCGCCACCGTGCCACCGCGCCAGCGAAGCAGCACAAAAGCAGGTTGAGAATGAGACCCTTTCAAATTCAACGTTCTGGTTTGAATGGCGCAGCAGACGGCGGCGCAGCCGGCGGCGACGAAGGGCCGGCCGCCGGCGGGGCCGACGAGCGGTGGCGAGGCCGCTCGCTGCTGGGAGCAGGCCGGCCTGGCGGGGCTCCCGGAGGCGGCCCAGGCGGACGCGCTGCGGGCGCGGGCCGCAGCTTGCCGCGCCTTCCCGGAGACGCGCGAGGCGGCCGCGCAGCTGGAGGCGGCGGCCGGTGACCCGGCCGCCCTGGGCCCCGCGGCGTTGCTGGCGCAGGCCGCGGCCCTCCGCGGCTTCTAGCGGAGCCGCGCGCCTCGCAAGGCCGAGGCGCTGGGCGGAGGCCGGCGCGCCGGCTTCGCCCCGCCCTGCTTGCTGCTGCTGTTGCTGCTTCTCTCCTGGCTCTCCTCCCCCCTGCTGCAGCCATCTCCTCTCCTGAGCCACAGGGCGACCCCTCGCGCAGGTAAAAAGTGTTCCTCTTCCTTCATTCCTCCGCCCTCTTCCTCCTCCTCCTCTTCCTCCTCCTCCTCTTCCTCGTCCTCCGCCTCCTCCTCCTCCTCCTCCTCCTCCTCCTCCTCCTCCTCCTCCTCCTCCTCCTCCTCCTCCTCCTCCCCATCCTCCTTCGCATCTTGAATGCACCTTGGGGTCTCGCTGGGGGTCATTACCAGCCGCGTAGGTCCTCATAGAGGCCTGTTGGGGACCCGCTGGAGGGCCCTCGGGGGTCTCATAGCCCGCGTGGGCGCATTGGCTCCACCAAGCTCGCCCGCTGAGGCTCGGCCGAACCGTCTTGGGGAAGCCCGGCCTGGTTTTGGGCCATTTTGGCGCCCTCCTGTGCAATCTTCGAGTCATGAGCAGATAGATCATGGCGGGTGATTTTTCGCTATTTTCAGTTTTGGGGGGTCGACGTTATGAACAAATGATGACGTCGGGGGTCTGGGTCAGAAGAGGAAGAGGACATGTATTCACACTCTGGCGCGTGACGGTCGTTACCTGGACCACCCCCCCGGGCGCGCCCATTTCGGCATACCCATCGCGCGGATCGTGCCCTAAAGGGAGTTTCACCGACGACCCCATTTGCAAAGTCCAAATGCCGTGGCGCGCCGATTTCAGCACACATCTCACGCGGATCGTGCCCCATACGGAGCTCCGCGCACGGCTTTTGTGGCAGAGTCCGCGTGCCGCGGCGCGCCCACTCGGGCACACCACTCGCGCGGACGGTGCCCCACCGAGAGCTCCGCATACGGCCCCAGTGGAGGTGTTCGCATGCCGCGGCGCGCCGAGTTCGGCATTCCCTTCGCGCGGATCGTGCCTTACAGTGAGCTGCGCGATCGGCATGTGTGGCAGCAAAGTGCGAATATCGCGGCCCGCTCATTTCGATCCTTCGCCGCTTTCGTTGGCCGCGCCCTTCTCGAATAGCTCCGAGATGGGCGTCCAAGGCCCTTGCACACTTACCGCGCAGTCTTGCGATACGGGGTGACAGTGCTGCGGCCCCAGCGAGGGCCCCCGCGCCCGCACGCCGCCCCCCCCCCGCCCGCCCACTTCGGCGCGCCCCGCACGCGGGCAGCGCCCCGCACGGAGACCCCCCCTGACGGAGCCCCACTGGCGCCAGTGGAGCTTCGCCCGCGTGCCGCCCACCAGTCGGCCACGCGCCGAGGGGGCAACCCGAGAAAACCAAGGGTTCGCTAAGGATTGGCTTCCCCCCAAAAAACGACGAAGACCCTTCCAAAACCTCCCCGGAACCCTCCGAAAGCCTCCTGCAACCCTTCACGGACGGTTCTCGGAGGGTTTCGAGAGGGTTTCGGCGGTTTTGGAAGGAAACCAGTCCCTAGCGAACCTTGGACTTTCTAAGGGTGACCGAGAGAAGTCTTTAGTTTTGGTCCCCCCTTTTCATTCACTCGGCGGTGAAAAATTAGGTCTGGTTGCGAGTTGACCCAGGGTCCCTCTAGAGGCCTTCTGAGGATGCCAGACACTCAGCCCCTTTCCGCAACCTTTTGGTTCGATCAGGGGCTTCGGCCCCTTGGAGGCAGACACATGTTAGCCTGAGCTGATACTGAAAACGGAGGCATACGAGAGCTCACGCTTACGTTTCCGCCGCTCCACCGTGTTCGGTGGTAGCGGAGCGCTGCGCTGCGCTTCCTCGGACCAGAGTTTCAGAGACAGCACGGTGGACGGTGACCACACGGCGGAGACATCGCGGCCCATCGCGACAACATGGGAGATGATGAGGATGGTGCTGAGGTCGTGGCTCCAGTCACGCGTGAGGGCGCGAGTGCCGGCAGGTACGTTCCGCCACCCACCATCAGGGAGTCTACGATCGAGGAGCTGCGGATGTATGTACGCAGATTACGGATCTGGTCAATGGTGGCGACGGGGATCCCGGCTCACCAGCGGGGCCTCCACGCCTACTACAGCATCTTGGAGGGTGGAGATGACCAGATCCAGAGCATCGTGGAAGGTCTCGACCAGAGCGAGCTCGAGGGCGAGAATGGAGTAGAGAACATCGTGAGGGCGCTCGAGCAGGAGATCATGCCGAAGAATGTGTACGAGAAGTACATGGAGTTCGAGCACACGTTCTACGGATCGGAGCGCAAGAAGGGAGAGAGCCTGCAGCAACACTCGATGAGGATCAAGAAGGCGTTCGACAGGCTGAGGAAGCTGTTGGTGACACTGGACGACGTGAAGGGATACATCCTCGTCCGACAGGCGAAGCTGGACCACACGGAGCGCATGGCCGTGATCCTGCAGACGTCGGGTTCATTGGCGTACGATGACGCGAGGACGGCGCTCAAGGGGCTTCGAGACGACAGCTCGCTGGAGAAGACCACGAAGAGCTACCAGGGGGACACTTCGGGGCAGCAGAAGAGTGGCAAGGCGTTCTACGTGGATGAGGATGACGAGCCGTACGAGGACGAGGACCCGATCGCACAGGCGCTGATGGCGC